TATGAAATACAGCATTATTAATGTATGTGTTGAATTTCAGTGACTTCTTTGCTCAAATTGAGAGATATGGTAACTTACATATCACTGAGGGTGTGTCTAGACTACAGGGTTTTGTCGACAAAAGTGGACTTTTGTCGACAACACTATACCTGCGTCTACTCTACCACCGAGTTCTGTCAACATAATGTTGATAGAACTTGGCAGTTTTGTCGACGGCGGTAAACCTCATTCTACAAAGAATAACACTTTTTGTCGACAGAAGGCGTTATTGCATCTACACTGTCCTTTGCGTCTACACTCTCATGTCGACAAAGCGGCTTGCTTTGTCGACAGAACTGCATGTAGTCTAGACGCTCTTTGTCAACAGAAGCTTTGTCGACAGTATCTGTCGACAAAGCCTCTGTCGACTAAAGCCTGTAGTTTAGACGTACCCAGAAGGTGAAATTCATCCTCTGTGAAGAGAAACAGACCAAGGCCTATGCACTATTTAAGTCCTTTGTAAGTTTTATTTTATGAGTTAAAGTATGCCTTTTCTTAGCCTACTCACATGCCATGAAATTAATTTTTAGTGAGTGTTAGGGAATATAAAGGAGGGTATATTCAAAGGTACAAAAAGGGTAGCTGAAGCATCCAGCCTTACTGAAAGCAATGGAGCACCTAACTCCAACTTCTTTCTTTCAAAATCGCCTTTAATCAGGTTATAACTTTAATATAGGAGAACCAGAAAAATGTGTAAGAATTTGAAAGGGGAAATGTATTTCTACTTTCCTGTTAGCACTTATTTTCTTTGTGTCCCTCAGCATGTATGCATCAACTTAAATTCCTGATAATGAGTATCTGACACTTAACATTAAAACAAAAAACAGGACTATGTAGCACTTTAAAGACTAACAAGATGGTTTATGAGGTGATGAGCTTTCATGGGTCAGACCCACTTCCTCAAATCAAATAGTGGAAGAAAATTGGTATGACCATATATATCAAATGATACAATCAAAAAAATGAACACATAGGAAAAGGACAAATCAAATTTCAGAACAGAAGGGGGATGAGGGAGGAGGTCGATGTCTGTGAGCTAATGATATTAGAGGTGATAATTGGGGAAGCTATCTTTGTAATGGGTAAGGTAATTAATGTCTTTGTTTAGACCTAGGTGTAAAAGTATCAAATTTAAGCATGAATCTTCTGAACTGTCATTTTGATTTGTCCTTTTCATATGTGTTCATTTTTTTGATTGTATCCTTTGGTATATATGGTCATACCAATTTTCTTCCACTATTTGATCTGAGGAAGTGGGTCTGGCCCATGAAAGCTCATCACCTCATAAACCATCTTGTTAGTCTTTAAAGTGCTACATAGTCCTGTTTTTTGTTTCAGCTACAACAGACTAACACATTTCTATCACTATTAACATTAAAAGTGAGTCATTACAATTTCTTTCCAAGGCTGTGTCTAGACTGCAGGGTTTTTTTCGAAAAAAGTAGCCTATTTTTCTAAAAAACTTCACCTGCATCTAGACTATAGCTGGATTCTTTAGAAATTAAATCGAAAGAACGTGGCTTTTCTTTCGATGGCGGTACTCCTCATTCCACGAGGAAGAACGCCGTTTTTCGAAAGTGCTCTTTCGAAAAAAGGCATTCTTGAATGCAAACAGGGCTTTTTTGAAAGAGAGCATCCAGACTGCCTGGGTGCTCTCTTCTGAAAACGCGGTGCGGCTCACTGTTTCGAAAGAAGAGATTGCAGTCTAGATGCTCTTTTTTGAAAGAAGCTTTTTCGAAAGATGCTTGCAGTCTAGACATAACCCAAGTGATACAGCTTTGTGAAATTCCATTCTTCCAGGGCAAGTATGTGTCTCCAATCCTAGGCCAGGTCAAGTATCTTTAGTTTGTGTTGGTATTCATTACCATTGTTATTAAAATACTCAAAGTTAAGAACATCAGAACATAAGAACAGCCATACAAGGTCTGATCAAAGGTCCACCTAGCCCAATATCCTGTCTTCTGACTGTGGCCAATGCCACTTGCCCTAGAGGAAAAGGACAGAACAGGTAATGGTCAAGTGATTCCTTCCCTGTCACCCATTCCCAGCTTCTAACAGAGGCTAGGGACACCATTCTTATCCATCCTGGTTAACAGCCATTGATGAACCTATACTCCAGGAATTCATTTGTTTCTTTTTTGAACCCTGTTGAAGTTCTCGTCTTTACAACGTCCTCTGGCAAGGAGTTCCACAGATTGAATTTGCATTGTGTGAAGAAAAACTTCGTTTGGTTGGTTTTAAACTTGCTACATATTAATTTCATTTGTTGACCCCTAATTCTTGTGTTATGGGAACAAGTGAATAACTTTTCCTTATTTACTTTCTCTACACCAGTCATGATTTTATAGACTGCCATCATATCCCCTCTTAGTCTTCTCTTTTCTAAGCTGAAAAGTCCCAGTCTCATTCATCTTTTTTCATATGTCGGTTCAGCTTAGCCCGAAGCCCTTACCCATACATCCGGGCAGGGCCCCGTGCCAACTGTCGCCTTAATGTCCCTCCAAATTCCTGTATGTTAGTCATTACCTGACTGTCCCAAGTTCAATAGTCCCATATGGAGTGTAGGTTGACCCCCCACCCATGTAAGGATTACAGTTGCTCTCCAGCTATGACGGCGGGGTAAAGCCACCGGGTTCCAGCCCATAGCCCTAAGGTGTAGAGACATGTAGCTCCCTACCCAGCTGATGGGGTGCTTACCCGAAACTCATCAGCCCACCGGCACCAGTATCGCCCTGTCCCAGGCTGCTTACTTCCCGCCTCATGGTCCTTGTCCCACTGCTTATCAACCAGGGTTCCTACCAGAGGCCCTGAAGCTTCCTCCTTATGGTCGTTGCTGTGGTCCTCTTGTGGCGGCCACCATTCGGCTTCAGCTCCGGTTTGTGTTGCCTCCCAATCCCTCTCTGGACTCCGCCATCCTCCAACGCAGCCCCTGATGCTCTGGCTACCACCTTTTTGAATGGGCCCACCTCTGGACATGCCGGCCCAATGCTCCACTGTGCTGGCGTCCCAATGTTCCATCATGTCATCTCCCCCCCGGCTTGGCCCATCCTCGCCTGTACACGGGCCAGCCAGCTTTTGCTGGCAGTGTGGCTTTTCCTCCTCTGAGCTTCCTCCCCCGCCCTCCCACAAAGCGGCAGAGGCTTGCAACACACCAAAGGCTTTGCTGGAACCAGTGCGGGTCCCCGTGGACCCATCACACATTCCTACTTCTAATCCTTTTTGTTGCCCTTTTCTGATTTTTTTCTAATTCTAAAATATCTTTTTTGAGATAAGGTGATCACATTTGTATGTAATATTCAAGATGTAAGTATACCATAGATTTATATAGAGACAATATAATATTCTCTGTCTTATTCTCTGTCTCCTTTTTAAATGATTCTGAGCATTGTTTGCTTTTTTGACTAGTGCTATATATTGGGTGGATATTTTCAGAGAACTATACACAAATGTCTCCAAGATCTCTTGAAAATAGCTAATTTAGCCCCCATCATTTTGTACATATAGTCGGGTTTCTGTTTTCCAATATGCATTAATTTGCATTGATCAACATTAAAATTCATCTGCCATTGTGTTGCCCAGTCAATTAGTTTAGTGATATAAAGGGGAGATAAATAGATGTTGCCTGAGTAGGTAAGGACACATGACAATTGTTCATGGTTAAATGAATGTATAGCCAGAGATGTCTTCAGCATATCCTAAGCTATGTCTAGACTATACTCTATTTTCGAAAGAGGATTGCAAATTCTGTGGGAATTTGCATATCTTCTTAAGATCTCACTTTCGAAAGTGGAGCTTTCAAAAGTGAAAATAGTCTGGATGCAGGGTTTTTTAAAAAAAAAAAAACT